GGTCAAGAGTAAGGGAACTTTATAGGGAAACCAGATTATATTAGTTTCACATTTCTCCCAGGATGCAGCCTACGACGGAGGCCTGAATTCCGGGAACCTATTTACTGCGAGGTGGAAAGAAACGTGTCGAGCGTCTTATCTTGTAGAAGAATCGAATCGTGGGTATTTTTACGGTTGTGAGACGAGAGCGCTGTCTACTGTGCTACAGGACGCCCATTGTTGTTTGGTGGGGAAGGTTTCCATGGGACGGCTGTCAGTGCTAGTGGAATGTGGCGGAACGGGCTTGGCCAGGCATGTGGAATAGCATGAGCCACCTTCCTGTTCCAGCGTTGCTCGGGTGACGGACGCCACATCTTCGCTACGCACTATCTTCATCACTGTAATCATCGTAACTCACAGTCTTCATCACCAACCATCCTCACTACTCGAGCACCGCTGTTTACCTTACCTACACCCACATCATCACTACCTTCCCTGCCCTACACCATCTTCCTTACCCTTCACCACCCTCCTTACCCTTCACCACCCCCCTACCCTTTCACCACCTTCCCTACCCTTTCACCACCTTCCCTACCATTCACCACCTTCCCTACCCTTCACCACCTTCCCTACCCTTTCACCACCTTCCCTACCCTTCACCACCTTCCCTACCCTTCACCACCTTCCCTACCCTTTCACCACCTTCCCTACCCTTCACCACCTTCCCTACCCTTCACCACCTTCCCTACCCTTTCACCACCTTCCCTACCCTTTCACCACCTTCCCTACCCTTCACCACCTTCCCTACCCTTTCACCACCTTCCCTACCCTTCACCACCTTCCCTACCCTTCACCACCTTCCCTACCATTCACCACCTTCCCTACCCTTCACCACCTTCCCTACCCTTTCACCACCTTCCCTACCCTTCACCACCTTCCCTACCCTTCACCACCTTCCCTACCCTTTCACCACCTTCCCTACCCTTCACCACCTTCCCTACCCTTCACCACCTTCCCTACCCTTTCACCACCTTCCCTACCCTTCACCACCTTCCCTACCCTTTCACCACCTTCCCTACCCTTCACCACCTTCCCTACCCTTCACCACCTTCCCTACCCTTCACCACCTTCCCTACCCTTTCACCACCTTCCCTACCCTTCACCACCTTCCCTACCCTTCACCACCTTCCCTACCCTTCACCACCTTCCCTACCCTTCACCACCTTCCCTACCCTTTCACCACCTTCCCTACCCTTTCACCACCTTCCCTACCCTTTCACCACCTTCCCTACCCTTTCACCACCTTCCCTACCCTTTCACCACCTTCCCTACCCTTTCACCACCTTCCCTACCCTTTCACCACCTTCCCTACCCTTCACCTTGACTGTTTAATTTCACCTTGACTTCTAATTTGACTGTCTTAGTAAAGACAGTCAAATTAGCGAGACTGAGAATTGCATAATTTGTCATTGCATGCAAAGAGGGGGGGCCATGATGGTCGACCCCTACCTCGCCTATGGCCATCCCCGACCAACCAACCAGTCACTCTGCAAAATTTGATTAGGCTTGCACCAAGCGTCTAGCCTCAGACCTCGAACAAACAGACAGACAAATTTCGATTGCTGTGTAGCAAAGCATTCCCGTGTGACTAAATATTAATACCGTGCCCAGCTAAATGGAATCCCTGCCGTCACCTGCTGACTAACCGATCAGCCATTTGTGAAGCTCGCTGACTAGCGCTGGCTGTCTGGCTCTGTGAAGAAGTACACTGTGGAGACTGCAGGTCAGTAAGCCACCAGCAAGGGTGGGAGGAGACTGTATTTGATGGCCTTTCTTCCAGTCACTGACTTTCTCGCCTCGATCGCGTGACTGGAAACCCTGCCCAGTGTACACTCTCTCCTGGGAGAGCGATCCTACGTATGTCAGTGTTACCGCCAAAACGTTAAATTTTTAAATTTTGCCCCGAGGGGCGAGTTTATTGGGCAGCGCCACTCATCCTCTGAGTGGATATAACTCCTCTGGTAACAAATATTTCCGCCCTTGAAACCCTCCGTTATGAAGTTATTATCAAGTTATTCTTAAGTTTAAGAGGACTATTATCAAATTAGTATTGCCACCACAGCCTGATTGATCAGTCCAGCAACCAGGAGGCCTGGTCGACGACCGGGCCGCGGGGACGCAAAGCCCCGGAAGCACCTCAAGGTAACCTCAAGGTAAGGTAACCACGTGGGCAATTTTCGCGACCATGTTTGAGGCTAATTCTTTAGTTCTTTCCAGTTGTCTGTTATAATATTCATCTATCAATCCATTCTCCGTTAAACTGATATCTAATTCTAAATATAAACTGATGTTTTTTCTGATATATAAAAATAAACTGATATATAAAAACTCTGACTTGTTCCTAGTCACAGCTAGGAACAAGGTCACCAGTCACAGCTAGCAACAAGGTCACCAGTCACAGCTAGCAACAAGGTCACCAGTCACAGCTAGCAACAAGGTCACCAGTCACAGCTAGCAACAAGGTCACCAGTCACAGCTAGCAACAAGGTCACCAGTCACAGCTAGCAACAAGGTCACCAGTCACAGCTAGCAACAAGGTCACCAGTCACAGCTAGGAACAACATCACCAGCAACAGCTAGAAAGAAGGTCACCAGTCACAGCTAGCAACAAGGTCACCAGTCACAGCTAGCAACAAGGTCACCAGTCACAGCTAGCAACAAGGTCACCAGTCACAGCTAGCAACAAGGTCACCAGTCACAGCTAGCAACAAGGTCACCAGTCACAGCTAGCAAGAAGGTCACCAGTCACAGCTAGGAAGACGGTCACCAGTCAGCCGGTACCAGTGTGTCGTGGGCGCGGTCAGATTAGAGAGAGAGAGAGACGATGAAGAGCGCCTCGTTCAACAATCAGTATATATATATATGAGGAAAGGAGAGGAACCGGTTCTACCTCCATTCATCTCTGAACATATCGTCGCCTGAGCGTCACTTGTTATATTAAGGCTTCCTGATGCCTGATTCATCATCCCGTCGCTCTGGCCGTGGTGGTAATGATGGGTGACGAGAGTGAGTGATGATCAGAGTGATCCAGAAAAAGGATGGTGAGGTCGGGAGTAATGGTGATGCGGCAGTGTTAGCGGTGATTAGGATGAATAGGTAGAGGGGGCAAAGGGTTGGAAGGGGGTGGTGATGTAAAAGGGAAAGGTGTGGGTGGGGGTTGAGGAGTAGATGGCGCGTCTCGATCCCTTTCTCCGCACTTCCGGTTACTTTTTCTTTCCATCTACTCCCGTTGCTCAAGCCTGTAGCTCTCTGGCGCACACGCTCTCATTGTATCATTATCACGGCGTCTCTTTCCACTGCCTCTTACAACACGTCAACCCTCTCACTCCAGTTTAAAAGCCCTTAATTTGTTCAGCACTCGAGGGGATGATCGGAGCTGACTTGCCTCTTTAAACAAAAAAAAGATTTTGCAATTCGTTATCCATCTTTATATATATATATATATATATATATATATATATATATATATATATATATATATATATATATATATATATATATATATATATATATATATATATATATATATGCGAATAAGCCTGAATGGTCCCCAGGACCATTCGTTAGTTATATATATATATATATATATATATATATTTTATTATGAATTTTGCTGGATATCCGGACGTTGCCTGGGCGAGTACCTGGAGCAACGTCTTTACTGCATCGCCTTCATTCCAACGTCTTCAAGACACAATCTCGATAGAAGTCAACGACGGGAAACAGAGATCAGATAAGGTAGAGATGGGCACATAGCGTATTTTTGGCCTGTTAAAAAATCCCTGGACATGGTATATACCACAACTTACACAAGTCTAGCGCATGAGTCGAAGAAGCAGACTTGACTTAATTGATTGATGCAGATTAAGCCACCAAGAGGTGGCACGTCGTGAATAGCCCGTAAGAGTGACTTGAGAATGGCAAGATAGTATGTATACCAGTGGGGTCCTATGACAGGGGAGGGGGGGGGGGGGTACTCGAATCTATCCTGGTCCTAATCTGTGTAAATTATTTACCAGAAGGGAGAAGACTCCTGCCTTTTTTTTTCTCTCTCTCTCTCTCTCTCTCTCTCTCTCTCTCTCTCTCTCTCTCTCTCTCTCTCTCTCTCTCTCTCTCTCTCTCTCTCTCTCTCTCTCTCTCTCTCTCTCTCTCTCTCTCTCTCTCTCGCTGGTGCAATAATTAGGATGACATATATTGCCTCATGAAATAATTCCTTGGTCTCGCGAGGAATTATTTCAGTGCGCAATTTTGGCACCTGTTCTGATATTTGTCTTCAGGTGTTTGATTGATTATTATATTATGGCTACGGTTTGTTGCCACATCTTCACTACTCACTCTGTTCATCACTATATCATCAATACATTCTATCTTCGCTATAACCATCCTCCCTACACACCTTCTTCATTACTATAGCCATTTATACTGCTTGGTTCCCCATCTACAATCATCACTATCACTGCCTTCCCTTTCCTTTACCACCTTCCCTATCCTTCACCATCTGTACCCTCACGCCTTTCCCTCTCCTTCACTAAATTTTCCTACCCTTCACATTTTTCTCTACCACTCACCACCTTTAGCTTTCACTATCTATACTCTTCATTATCTTCCCTTCATCCCTGAACCTATTTTCACTAAACACGTTTCATCAATTAATCACATTAACATTTCACAAAAGTGTGGGGGGCGAGATAGGGTTCGTCCCACCTATGACCGTCCTCGGACGAAGACCAGTCACCTTACAAAGTTTGGTGAGGCTAGCCACAAGTGTCTGGCCCTCAACTCTGAGCCGAACGAGAGACATTTTATTTTATGGATATTGATATTTTTCATGTCTGATTTCTATCGAATATTAAGTTTGTGTTTGAACTGTCAACTAAAGACAGTTTATGTAGGTACTATGTATTGTATGACGGTTCACGGTGACGACGGTAACTGACAGAAGGTTCTTTCATTTTCGACAGGGCGGTGACGGCGATGGTTAGGCCTTACACAGCTCTCCCAGCCGAAGTGGCTTCAACTATCCCTAGACGCTCTCCACTGAGGGACTCGTGGGTGCGGCCGGCACCCCAGCCTCCAGATATTACCCCTCCCATGGGCACTCTCAAGCCCTCGGGGGCCATATTGCGGCCCTTGAGGACTCTCGAGCCCACGCGGCTCAGACCGCGGTCCTTGGGGTCTCTCGAGCCCTCGAAGCCCAGACCAAAGTCCTTGGGGACTCTCGAGCCCTCGGGGTCGAGACCACAGTCTATGGGGACTCCTGAGCCCTCGGGGTCCAGACCACAGTCCATGGGGACTCCCGAGCCCTTGGGGTCGAGACCACAGTCCATGGGAACTCCCGAGCCCTCGGGGTCCAGACCACAGTCCATGGGGTCTCCCGAGCCCTCAGAGCCTATACCGCAACCCTTGGGGACTCCCGAGCCCTCGGGGTCCAGACCACAGTCCATGGGGACTCCCGAGCCCTCGGGGTCTAGACCACAGCCCTTGGGGACTCCCGAGCCCTCAGAGCCCATACCGCAGCCCTTGACTCTCAATACCTCAGAGCCCAGACAAGAGCCCTCAGTGAATCTCAATCCTCCAGATCACAAACCACTGGAAGCTCTGCAGCCCTTGGGGTCCACGACAAGTGTGAGCCCTGGGGGTGACCAGCGCCCCCGGGCCCCGCCCCGCCCCGCTTCCGTTATCCTCACCACATACATCCCCGATGGCGGGGTCTTGCAGGAACTGCGCGGTCTCTCCGGCCAAGTCTCGAGGGCCAAAGCCTTCTTCGAGTCCTCGACGACACAGCCCGAAGACCAGCCGGGGCCCTCACCGCCGGAGGAGGACGACATTAGCGCCACGGCTGTGACCTACCGCGTCAAAAACCCGCACAGGTCGCCGGCGCAGCGGCGGCCGCGTCGATATCGCAACACCATCAGCACCTTCCCACGCTGGGCGCCGTCGGGGCAGCACGCAGCCATCGACGACATCAAGAACGACCACCGCGCCTCCAGCGACCTCGACGAGCAAGGCAACATCGTCAGTAGGCCTCAATGCCCTGGCGCAGACGACGACGACGACGACGTGGTGATCAGGCGGGTCAAGCCGGTGGTAGTGCGCAGGCGCCATGGCACCATCATGGCCGTCGTTGACAGCCTCTCCTGGGACAAGGTGGTTGACATCACAGGTAGTGGGGGTGAGGCAGCAGGTGTGGAGGGCAGCACAGGTATTGGGGGTGAGGGAGCAGGTGTGGAGGGCAGCACAGGTATTGGGGGTGAGGGAGCAGGTGTGGAGGGCAGCACAGGTAGTGGGGGTGAGGCAGCAGGTGTGGAGGGCAGCATAGATAGTGGGAGTGAGGCAGCAGGTGTGGAGGGCAGCACAGGTAGTGGGGGTGAGGGAGCAGGTGTGGAGGGCAGCACAGGTAGTGGGGGTGAGGGAGCAGGTGTGGAGGGCAGCACAGGTAGTGGGGGTGAGGCAGCAGGTGTGGAGGGCAGCACAGGTAGTGGGGGTGAGGCAGCAGGTGTGGAGGACAACACAGGTAGTGGGGGTGAGGGAGCAGGTGTGGAGGGCAACACAGGTAGCGGTGGTAAGGGAGCAGGTGTGGAGGGCAGCACAGGTAGTGGGTGGGAGGTAGCAGGTGTGAAAGTCAGCAATAACATAAGTAGTGGAGGTGAGGCTGCAGGTGTGGAATTTGACAACACAGGTAGTGAATACGACGCAGCATATTTGGTGTACAGCACAGGTATTGGGCTCGAAACTGCAGGTATGGCATACAGCACAGGTAGCGGGGTTGAAGCAGGTGTGGAAATCAGCAACAATACAGGTAGTGGGAGTGAGGAACCAGGTGTGGAAGGCAGCACAATTAATGAAGCAGATACAGCAGGTGTGTGGACCAACACAGGTAGTGAAGTAGGTACAGCAGGTGTGTGGACCAACACAGATAGTGAAGTAGGTACAGCAGATGTGTGGACCAACACATGTAGTGAAGTAGATACAGCAGGTGTGGAAGGCAGCAGAGGTAGTGAAGCATATACAGCAGGTTTGGAGGGCAGCAGAGGTAGTGAAGCATATACAGCAGGTGTGGAGGGCAGCAGAGGTAGTGAAGCATATACAGCAGGTGTGGAGGGCAGCAGAGGTAGTGAAGCATATACAGCAGATGTGGAGGGCAGCAGAGGTAGTGAAGCATATACAGCAGGTGTGGAGGGCAGCAGAGGTAGTGAAGCATATACAGCAGGTTTGGAGGGCAGCAGAGGTAGTGAAGCATATACATCAGGTGTGGAGGGCAGCAGATGTAGTGAAGCATATACATCAGGTGTGGAGGGCAGAAGAGGTATCGGGGTGGAGGCGGCAGGTGTGGCGGGGCGTCTTGGGGGCGCGGGAGTCGTCAGTAAGGGCTGGGACGCCGTGCTGTGCGGACCACTCTACAGCCCTCCTCCCTCGTGCCGGCGCGACCACGCGACCCTCGCCTCTCGGGACGAGTGCCAGGACAGTGCCACCGGGGGTCATGACCCGCCGCCCCGGACCATGGTAGTGCCAGAGGACGGCCAGGTGCAGGCGGCGCCGCGCGTCGTTGCTGCCTGCATCAAGTCCTATCACGACATCCCCGAGGAGTTGTTCAACAGTTTAGAAGAGAGCTCCGTGGACCCTATCACTCCTGGTGCCGCCCACACGCCTCCCCCACTCTCGCCCGCCCACACCGGCCCCCTCCCGCCCACGCCCGCCCCTCGCGGCGACTGGCGGACCATGCGGGAGGGGCGTCGGGCCCTCCTGATGGGGGAGGTGAGTGACGCCGACACAGAAGACGGCAGCGAAGTTGACCTCGGCGGCGTCGCATCCACCAGCGACTACCACACCAGCGATGGTCGTGGGTCGTCCCTCTCAGGCGCCAGCGACGACCACCACAGAAATAACGACCACCGAAACGAGGACCACCTCAGAAACAACGACCATCACGGAAACAACGACCACCGACACGACGGACACATCTACAACGCCCACAAGGACCACCACGCCCACGGTAAGTGGCATGATCCAATTTTGTTGTATCCCTCTTTCCGGACCCTCCCCCAGCCCACCGTGGGAGACAGGAAGGGGTGGGGCTGAGCTCATTGCTGAATGGTTGTGTATGGTTGACTGTCGGTTTGCCCATCCGCTTGTCATTGTGTGCGTCCAGGGGGCGACTACACTGTGTGAGCGTCCAGGGGCGACTACACTGTGTGAGCGTCCAGGGGCGACTACACTGTGTGCGCGTCCAGGGGGCGACTACATTGTGTGCGCGTCCAGGGGGCGACTACATTGTGTGCGCGTCCAGGGGGCGACTACACTGTGTGCGTGTCCAGGGGCGACTACACGACGTGTACATCTAGCAGCGAGCACACAGCCTGTGCGTGTCGAGCATGACAGGTTTTGCGTGACCTGCGGAGACACCCTCCCTACTGTGTCTATGACAGTGACCCACCCGAGGGTGCATGTCCAGTGGCCACCCTGCGCTGTACGGAGTCAGTGGCCATCCTGCGCTGAACGGAGCCCATGGCCTCCCTGAGCTGTTCGGAGCCAGTGGCCTCCCTTTGCTGTACAGAGCCCATGGCCTCCCTGCGCTGTACAGAGCCCATGGCCTCCCTGCGCTGTACAGAGCCCATGGCCTCCCTTTGCTGTAAAGAGCCCATGGCCTCCCTGCGATGTACAATCAATAGTGACCTTGCGATGTATCGAACCAGCGGTGGCTCCGTGATAGACAGTGCTCCAGCGGTGTACAGGACCAGTGATGATCCTGTAATTTGCAAGAAGTGTAGCGTCCACAAGATGTCCGCGTCCTGTGGCGCCCTTGTGACCTCCACACCTGGCTGCTCCCACGGTGAGACTAGGGAGGGGGGGGGGAGGATTTACACCATTTACACTCCCAGGTGTGTGCTTCCAGGGTCGAGCCTTAGCTCCTAATCCCCGCTGTTAGAAGCATTTGATGGTTTAATAAAATGACTGTTGTCTCATTTTTATTGTCATATTTACTTTAAAAGCGTGTATCGAAGGCCCGCCACCTTTTTTTTGTTATCCAATCAATTACATTTATGTATGATTTTTGCACCGAAAACGTTCTCTATTTTGTAAGTAACTCTTTGTATTTCGTTCTGCTCTCCATGCTCCCTCGTTCTGCGGTTCCTCTCTTTGAATATTGCTTCTTTATTTGCTTTATCAATTCATATGAGAATTATATATGTCGTAATCATGTCCTCTCTATTCTTTTGTTCCTTCAGTGTGATGACGTTAAGTTCCCTCAGTCTTTCCTTGTAGCTCAGGAACCAGCGTTGTTACTTATATACAGACTTTTGCTATTTTTGTTGCAATTAATTACGATATGCAGGATGTTTTGTGACGGGTTAGCTGGTGTCTATAATTCATCAACAGAAGACAGAAGTCCGTCCCAGGTGTATGTGTATGCCATGAGGCGTTCCCATGGGATTTATTCCTTACACTTCTGATTCATTTTACGACGTGTTCCATGTTTTGTCGAGCGTGACTGTGTTGACGGACCTAAATACGGTGTGTCACTGGCGTTGCCGAGCCAGGCTCCTAGGCACGCCTAGGAGTGTGTGACGGATCTGCCAGCAGGATTATTTGCACGCGCTCTTAACGTGGGAACAGCCGCGGTTATACAGCAACCCTTGACTGTGTGACGGGGTATGCAGGGGCTGGATAACGAGGAGCGAGCCGACGGTGCTGGGGTCAATCTCCAGGCACAGAAACCAAACGTAGTCGCAATACTGGACTGGGTCACGACCTGACTCCTGTTGACATTTGTCTCTCTCTCCCTGAGCTATCACGCAGCTTACCAAGGAGACGCTGGGAGAGAGAGGGAGGGAGTACTTATCTAGATGTACTTACCTAGTTGTGCTTGCAGGGGTTGAGCTCTGGCTCTTTAGGCCCGCCTCTCAACTGTCAATCAACTGGTGTACAGGTTCCTGAGTCTACTGTGCTCTGTCATATCTACACTTAAAACTGTGTATGGAGTCTGCTTCCACCGTAGGAGAAGTGTGTGTGTGTGTGTGTGTGTGTGTGTGTGTGTGTGTGTGTGTATGTGTGTGTGTGTTTGAATAGAAGAATAAACATTTTCCTGTTTGTAAACAGCCCTGTTTGCCCTGTTTGCGTGTGTTGTTCACTAAAAAGACGCCTGTCCCACTTCACTTCCCCCGCCGGATGTGTTGTCTGCCACCTTGCCAAGGTCGCTTCACGACACTCTCACTGTCCTCTATGACGCAGCAAGAATCCTTCTGCTGTCTACCTGCAAATTTAGTGACGGGAAATTAAAGTATTTAGTTTTTTTTGTTCTGGGTGCTGGGAGGGAGCGCGGTGAGGGCAGGTGAGTCGGGGGGAATTAGGACGCTAGGTTCGTCTATAAGTGCGTGTACGTGTCTTTATATGTATACATGCGTATATCTGTCTGTGCACGTATATATATGTGTGTATGTATGTTTCTGTGGTCCAACCCTTGTTTACCCACGAGTACCTATTCCAAACCTTTATTGTTATTGTATCTGGGTAGCGGCTGTCAGACCCTATGAAGGAGAGAGATGTGTGTGTGCGCGTGTGTGCGTGCGTATGCGTGCTGCGTTCATTCTACCAAAGCCTCCGCCTACCCCGGTGTTCCCACTCTCCCGTCTGGCCCACGCCCATCTCCTGTAACACCACACCGCCCATCTCCTGTAACACCACACCGCCCATCTCCTGTAACACCACACCGCCCATCTCCCGTCACACCACACCACCCATCTCCCGTCTGGCCCACGCCCATCTCCCGTCACACCACACCGCCCATCTCCCGTCACATCACACCGCCCATCTCCCGTCTCGCCACACCGCCCACATTCGCTTTGTGCCGATGAAGAGCGTAAGTTTGATATATATATGATAACACCCACTTCTGATAAGCATAAGGTCTTCCTAACCTATGCAAACATCTGCTTAACATTAGCATTCCCTCGTGAGGTTTACTACTGAAGCCCTTGTGTATGCACGGGAGGTAGTGGGGATGTGGTGGGTGGGACTCTAGCCAGAGAGGGTGGGGGGGGGGGGGTGAGGCCAGGGTCCCTCCACCCTTCAGCACCTGCTGTGTCAGGGTGGGGAGAGGGGGGGGGGAGTGGGGTGCTGCAAGGGGAATGGGTCAGGTCGTTAGTGTTGTACCGCGATGAGATTGCCAATTAAATCACTAGATTGCCATCTAGGTTTTAGGTTAAGGGCAAACTTCGGTAGTGTGGTTATCTATCGGTTGGAGATGCTGGTGGAGGTGGCTTACACTACTTCCCATTCTATCTCTTGGTCACCCGTACAGGCTACGAGTATTTCCTTGCATTTATTCATCTAATTTTCGCTCCCAGCTTTCACATATGTCCTCTTGGCCTACTTTATCTCACTTTAATGATGCTGTAGTAATCCACCCTGTTGCTATCCCGCTATCTCTTCCCGGCACGGTGCCAGCGTGTGTCTTGGTGCCACACCTGGGATTACGCCATTCATTTAATCTACTGCTATCTGAAATACTCTTACTAGTTTCTTCACGCTCCGCTAGATGACCGTCAACAGCAATCTGAGAAACTTTCCCCAAACAAGGCGTCTCGGTGCTTCACAATGTACTCTGATGAATGCCTTCTTGAGGTTATCTTGAGATGATTTCGGGGCTTTTTTAGTGTCCCCGCGGCCCGGTCCTCGACCAGGCCTCCACCCCGAGGAAGCAGCCCGTGACAGCTGACTAACACCCAGGTACCTATTTTATTGCTAGGTAACAGGAGCATAGGGTGAAAGAAACTCTGCCCATTGTTTCTCGCCGGCGCCTGGGATCGAACCCAGGACCACAGGATCATAAGTCCCGCGTGCTGTCCGCTCGGCCGACCGGCTCCCCTTGATGTATTACGCGGTACAAAAGTGAGAGTGGAGCAGGCTAAGTGGACCACTGGTGAGGCTTGAGGCCACTTGTTTGCCTCTACACAACATGGCTAAGGTCATCCTTAATCTTACGATGCACAGGTGTGAAGGAGACGCACGTCTCCGGATGCATATCGTGCGTAACGCATCATTGTAATCTGTGAGACATTTTTTTGGTTGTTTGTTGTGCTGCTTCGAAGTTCCAGACGTCTCCTCGGTAATTGGGGGTTCCAGGTGACCTCTCGACTCTTAAGGGTGTTGCGATGAGCACATTAAGGTCGACGATTCGGTTTATTTTTCAAGTAGGTAAGAAAACAAGACATTCGGGTAAGGCTTGTAGGTAGTGTAGGCAGAGGTAGCAGAGAGGTAGGCAAGGCAGGCAGGGATGTAGGCAGAGCAGGCAGGGCCGGGACGGGCAGACGGGCAAGGTATAGCGAGAAGGTAGATTGGGCCTGGTATGGCAGGGTAGGCCGGGTATGACGGTCTAGGCTGGGTAGGGCAGGTACGTCAGGTAAGGCAGGCAGGTCGGGTGGGGCAGGCAGGATTTGCAGGGCGTTCCTTTGTTGCTCTCTGACTCACAAGCAAAAACTAAAAATCCTGCTTTGGTATTTTCAGCAAACCTTAGCGTTTATGGTGTAATGACTAGGAGGGGGAGGTGGGGGCGAGTATTAGGGAGGGGGGCGAGTACAAGGGAGGGGGGGGGCGAGTACAAGGGAGGGGGGGGCGATAACAAGGGAGGGGGGGGCGAGTACAAGGGAGGGAGGGGGCGAGTACAAGGGAGGGAGGGGGCGAGTACAAGGGAGGGAGGGGGCGAGTACAAGGGAGGGAGGGGGCGAGTACAAGGGAGGGAGGGGGCGAGTACAAGGGAGGGAGGGGGCGAGTACAAGGGAGAGGGGGCGAGTACAAGGGAGGGGGGGGCGAGTACAAGGGAGGGGGGCGAGTACAAGGGAGGAGGGGCGAGTACAAGGTAGGAGGGGCAAGTGCAAGGGAGAGGGGGGCGAGTACAAGGGAGGGGGGCGAGTACAAGGGAGGAGGGGTGAGTACAAGGGAGGGGGGGGCGAGTACAAGGTAGGAGGGGCAAGTACAAGGGAGGGGGGCGAGTAC